TGATTTTAGAATATAAATTATAAATTTTTTCTAAAGGACTTCTCGTTCATTCTTGCATGACTCCATACTGCTAACGTGGTGTGAAGTAGTTTAAATTAAAAGAAGTTAAAAAATAAAATACCCCATCACACATTCCCCTAAGTTCTAATATGGTGCGTCAACAACACGGCATTTTCCTCACAGTGAAGAGCTGCGCTGAATTTAATACTTCATTTCAAAAGAGGCATGTACTGATTCGTTTACATACTTTTAATGTAGAAAATGTTTTCCAATATTTTTCATACATATTTCTTCATAACTGCAAACTACAGAAAGGATACGTCTTGAACATGATACAATATATAATAGTGGAATATTGAATGTATGCTGAATGTATCACATGTATGCTATACAAGTAACAACTCAGTTACCTCATTTATTGTTTCTAAAAAAATGCAATTTATCGTCAATCATGAAAGACCCATGACATGTGATTAGATTTACATTCTGGATGACTAAAAGTGTTACTAATTTAATTTTCAGTATATGTTAACACATATTGTAATGACATGTACCTAATCAGGTTTTTTTATTGAGCATATATAATTGGAGTGAACATTAGAATAGTGTGTGTTTCTTAATTATGGAGAGGAATTATTTATATCAAAGATCTTACTTGATGTTTATGTGGCATAAATGCACCATGTGTCAGCACTTGCAATTTCACAAACAAACAAAAAAGTCAGGAGAGACAACAGTGACATTCAATGTCACACAAAAAAGGGCATTACATTTTGGCTCATCTCTTTCTCTATTGTTCTTATAATCCGCTAACATTCGATAGCGGGCGGTTTTTGTACATCGTTTACTAGCAAGTATTCTTTCTTAGAATGCAACGTTTCCCCACACTATTTAAAAATAGAACAACTGAATGAACTAAACAGGTGGATTGTGGTTGAAAGCAGCATGTAGTTTACTATGACAGTACATGAATCAGGTACGATTACTACAGGTCATTGGCCTACTCATTGATCATTGTCCTTCTCTACAAAATTAGTTAGGTTACACATGTAAGCTACACATGTAAACACACAACCCGTGCTAAGGCTGAAGAAAAACCCAAAACTCGTCAAATTCTGCTCCAGTAAACGTCTCCGACCCTGCGTGCCTCGAACGGTTACTAGAATCTCAACCCCAAATAGGCCATTAACTACCATTAGCGTCCTCATAGCCATACTTTAACTATCAGGTATATGGCGATGTTTTAAATAACATTTGCGCTATGCTCTGCGTAGGTGTTGTAGTGTTTTTTACACACTATGTAGTCCAGGATATTTACAGTAAGCTGAATTTAGATGTGTTGTATATGGCTTAATACAGTGTCGAAATAATCTTAATATTCTATGTTATATTTCCTCCAAACACTGGCCATGTCTTGGGCATGGTCATTGAAAAAATGGCTAAATCAATAAATTATAGCACTAACACATGTTAGAAGGAGCATTAATTTGACTTCAGTATATCAACGAACCCAATTAATGTTTATGATGATATGCTGGTTTTATGAGAGAACAAACTAATAAACAACGATAACCTAATTCCTGATTTACGCTGTACTCGTTACACTGGATTTATATATTGTCTTTTGTTGCTAATAAAATTAATACAATGTCACAACATTACGAATAAAACAGTCTCGCGGTTACAAATTAAGTCGGTATAGGAATTGAACAACATATTGAAGGTCGTATCAAGATCAAACTGTAAGGAACATTCAGGAGAATTATTCCGCATTACGTCCAAGAAATAAATTTGAAGGTGAAGCATTTACTAGCAATAAACTGACAAGGTGACACGCCCTCTACCCAAATACCAATTTTGAAATGTTGTTGGTTGATTCCTAGCCCCACAATGTTTTTATTGCCACCGGATATGTCGGTCCCTTTGCGTATACGTCGAAACTAGGTCGGGTCCTATCAATACACATTTAATATTGAAACTTTGATTTCAATATATCAATTTTCATTTTAGATTTGTATATACACGCTATACACTCGACAATGTTGAATTCATCACATATTGTGACATGTTCGTGGGGACGTTCGTAAATAAATAATAAATGGCCGTATTATGTATCGCAGCTAATGTAATTTTCTATAACATATTTTGTATTTCAATTCGACAAATGCGCATTTGAAAATATGGGTAACATTCAATTTCCGTCGTCGTTTTCAATATTGAGAAATGATTTTTTGGCATAATCATATTTACTCTATGTGCCATGTATTTTATATAATGAATGGCCGGCCGCCAGGTGTCACGGATTCTTGGTTGGACGTCTATCAAGTTTGTTTATGTCATGGTGATATCTTCAATTCTGTAATTTTAGAAAATATTTTTTCATCTCTGTTCAAAAATGTTATTGTTGACTTCTTCTGGAAAACCTCTACGCTGATTGCTTTAATACTTGCTATATTTATAACTTGGATGGATTGCTTTTAGATTTTATTATTCCTCGATGATAACTTGAATTCTTTGATTTCAGTGAATGTTTTTGTCATTTCTAGTGAAAATGCAATTTTGACTTTAAAACCGGTACTTGCTTTGATATTGTATATATATGTACCTTAGATAGATCTCTATTAAATTTATACCTAAATATTGCAAGGCTCTACTGAAACAGCAGTTTGTTTTTTATAAATATTATATTATTCGTAGTTTTGGGTTAACGACAATAGAATCATTGGAGGCGATGTCATAACTAAATAAGTGTATAATCTATCCCCTCTTTTCAACACTTGTGTCGCCTGGTCTCCATTGAATGCTAATTAGCCAAACACAATTCTGAACCTAGTCATTTCTTTCTGATTGATTTGAGAATACAAAATAGAGAGAAAATTATAAGAATATTAGCAATAAGAGGGTTGAATGCGGCAAACTATTGTCTTTGGGTTTATATACATATATTTATACAAAATCACTTATTGCTGTCAATATCTTGATATCTGTTTTAATATAGCTGTGACTTCAAACACTGTAGCCTCAATGTCATTCATCATATTGTACTACTTCATACTGAGGTGGATTGATGTTATACAATAAATCTAATACATAAGCAATACAGTCTAGAGTATGTATTTTATCATTATATTATCATTTTAAAAGTAATTGCAAATTTTATTAGGACACTTGAATATCAAATGAACGATTAATTCTGGCACGCATTACTATGTGACCAGATACATTCATAACGTAAAAAGTAATCAGTTTTCTGGACTTTAACATGGTGATGAATATAGTAGTGGTAGTTCAAATTTTTTGAACATTCGGATGTTTAATAAAATAGGTGAAACACCACTGAAGACAAATGTAAAAACAAACACTGTCTGAAATATGAACAATGACACCTTGACCATTTAACGGTGTTAAACTATTCTCGGTCTCCAAGAATCGAATGACTTTGGTGGCGAGTTTGGTTTTCTAGTTAAAAGATTACTTATTGCAAAGAGTAGATCATGTTATTGGCAGCAGTCAAGCGGGGGACTCGTAACCTGCGCATACGTCATATGACCATAGCGTGTCATTGTTAACAAACAAAGAGTCTATACATGAGCCGTTGCGCATTTAGCGTGTGTTGTTATCGTCGCTTGGGACTCAATTCCCGCGCGTGCGCAGGTGACGACCCTCCCGTTTTAACTTTAACATCATTGCATGACTCATTAATCAACGTTGTCAACCACATTTTATACGTATATCATATTCTTTACTCGAGTACAAGTACATGGACTGAAATGTTTGGAATTCTTTTTTAGGTTTTCATAGAGATTAATGGTAGTTAGCTTAAAAATATATATTTGGCTACACAACCCCAAAGAATAAAGGATTCATATAGTATATAACACAGTATAGCACTAAATCGCGCCTACGTTGAACATATTAGAGTGATATATACATGAGATCATAGTGCGGATGACGTCTTATACGTTAATGAAAGAAATAGCTAAGAATAATTGAACCGATGATATGGCCACAAATATAATTACATAAATTTCAGTCTTGTAACATTAGTGTACTTGTTTTTCGTTCCATGGTCATTTCATTTCATGACGATTTCATGCAACTTAGTACTTGTATAATAACTTATTTATACACTGGTGGAATTTTATTCTGTCTGATGGAAATATTATTAACAGAATAGTGAAATTTATGTTTTCATACGTCGTACATTGCTGGCAATATTTTGTTTATTGATCAGGTGGAGAGGACAAGGGTAAAATAAATAATATACATAATATTATTGTACTCAGTGCCATAGGTTACTAGCTAGGCGTATAATAATAGGATATATCGTGTTGTAGTATTTACTAATTGACTCTCAAATATACAATAGCCATGTGTTGGTTATGACATGATCACGTGTTATCTCGGCAGTATTACCATTGCTTGATGCAGTCTTTGTCACAGTGGT